GTTTACTATCTTTTATACTTATTAACAACAATTTTACATATATTGAAATATTCTTAATCAAAAAATAAAATTTGTGCTCTCATTAACAGTTAATACAAGCTCATCTGTCACACATGTTGGTAATGGATGTATCAACGAAAGTAATGATTTGTATGAAATAGTTTCCATTTTTAACATATCACCTCGCAGAGGTACATATATTGAACTATCACATTCATATAAATATTTAAAATAATCATTAATACGATGGCGTGGTATTGTTTCATGTATTCCAGGTGTTAGAGAATCAATAATAAAAAAATAATCAGGGGTACTATCGAATCGTCGAACACAGAAGTAATGATCGTGTTGATGAACAAATAAAGCTTGCACATCATGAATATGATTTCTAATCAAGTCACGATGCAAGTATGTTGTTTCATCTTTTTCTTGCAATTGTAGAAGTTCAATATTATATTGTTGTTGAAGAGCTTTTTGAATAACTTCAATATGATAATAGCCAGTAATATAATTGAAATAATATTGTCTAACTGTAGTTGCACGTGGACGAAGTATAAGTTCTTGTGTTGCAAGTTCTTCTGCTAAACTAATTAAATATGTATCATCAAATATTTGTCTATCTTGTACAAGAGCTCGAAGAGCATGACCACCACAAAATAAACGACGCTGTCTTTCACAAATTATTACATTCTCAGGTTTAATGATATCATTAACCATATTGGTATCATCATCAACATTGGTAGCATCATTTATATTAATATTGTTTATAACTTTCAAACGTTTATTAGTATGTTTCGAATTATTTCGTGATCTTTTATTCTTTTTTTCTGTATTATTGACATTAGATGTATAACTAAGGTTTGGATCAGGAATACTATGCTGAATATGAAATGATAAAGTATAGTTTTCAGCTTAAAATTTGATTTACTGACTGCCTCGTTTAAATAGTCATCGAATTTAATTGGATTTTCTCTTTCAATTCTCTGTAAACGTTCAATCTCCTTTAAACCATCTATCGAAATCTAAATATGTGCATATATATAATATTCAAATAAATTTTAGTTAAAATTGTATACTTTAAAAGATTTTCGATCGTATGCTAGTATTATAATATCTGTAATATGACGCGTTCTGTAAGAACTGTGTAAAATATACCAGGTTTCCAATATTTACCACCAAGATCAGTAACTAATTTTGAATATGTCATGCATTGAGTTCTATGTATGGTTATCGCATAGCCAAGTGTAAATGGCAATTGTACACGAGTCATGCTGATATTGTTCATGTCATTAAATCGAGTTTCCTGCGGTTCTAATTTATATGTTTGACCATTGAATAATTCTAAATATTGATTTCTAATTACGATATGTCATTTTCTAAAGTTTGATAGTTTTACCGAGTTCTACATATTTCGGTAGTTTTGCATTAATAACATTTGATAATCCAGAAAATATGTCTTCGGACTCTGCTGGTGGTAAAAGAAAATCTGTAGAATCTTCCCAAATTATGTTTTTTTATTATGGCATCACTTCCATTAATAACGGAGTTATCTTGATCGATGTTGCGTCTAATAATAACGCGTGCACCGACACAAATAGGTAATCGTCGGTACAGTGAACCACATTTATTTTCATCAGGTGATGGTTTAAGATTAATTTTGCAAGTTCTATTACTTGTTTTACTAGAGTTGAAGAAAGACCTATTAATCATGGCTACTTTCTATTTAATGAATATATTCATATTTCAGATTGATATAATACTAAAAATTAATCTTACATCTACAGCATTAATCATAAAAATAGGATTTTTTGAATCAGATGCATGCTTTTTTAATTTTTCTAGGTTTCTTAAATTTGTCAATTTTCGAACTCAGTACGCATGAACAGCATCTTGAAAATCAGGTGAATTTAACTCTTTCAATCGTTCTTGATAGCTTTCAGGATTGTCTTGTTGACGTATACTTCTTGATTTTATTAAAGATTCTGTGTCTTCATCCAAACAACCTATATCATGTAAATTATTTCTATTTAGAGTATTACAATAAAATATCAGGTACTCATTCGCAGTCGACACAAACAATCAAAGAAGACCCGATCATCTCCTTGTCTCATATTAATGTCAAAGTTTATAGGTCTGAATAAGTCGTGCCATAAAGAAAATAATTCACCTAATGGACGATAGAATACTTGTTTAGCTGCGACAGGTTCAATCTGAGCCATGTCACCGAATACGATAACAGGAATACCACCAAAATAAACATCGCATTTATCAAGTGTACGAAATATTTCATTTAAACGTTTATTAATTTTTTGAAATAATGCATGTGAAACAAGCAAAATTTCATCTATGATTATCAACAATAATCCATTGAGTTTGTTTCTTAGGGTATGAAATTTAAAAGAATTTAATTTGTTTGGTGATGAACTTCCGTCTGGACACTGGAAGAGCAAAACGTTGTATCATGTAATAATAATAGGAACGTATGCTTACAATTTCAAGAGCCGAATGTATAGTAGAACCATGGATATTCAACGCTGCTTTTCCTGTATGAGCCATTTTAAGTAAACCAAAATTTTTACGAGGACGCGAAACTCCAGCAGATTCAGCAATGCAATATTCATTAAGCATTTTTTCAATTATAGAAATAACATAAGATTTACCAGATCCTGCCAGACCATTGACAACAATATGAAATGGTTTCGGCTTTTGTACATGTGTCGGACGTCTTGAGTGCATCAGTAAGTGATTTAAATACGTTTGAATAAAATCAAGAAGATATTTCTGTTGAGGATTAGCTGTATTTCTCAAATCTGATAATGCTTGAAACGAAATACAAGTGCTAGTGTCGAAATTTGTAAACGAGTTGTTGTCAGTTGTTATAAATGCTTGTGTAAGATCATTATCTGTTGATGATTTATCAATTGTATCATCTTCATGTTCGATTGGATTTGTAAATATATAAGATTCTCGATGATTAATTTTAAAATTTTCTTTATCAATATTGATTAAATGGTCCAGTAGATTTTTTAGTTGAATACGATACGTTTGATGTAATGTTAAAATACGAGTAGAAATTTCTATTTTGTGTTGTAGAAGTACTTGATGTAGATCATATATTTCTGGTTCTAAGAGAAAAACTAAAAATGTACCGCTTAAATTAAAAAGAACATTTCAAACCTTGTTTAACACCTAAGAATTCAACCACTGAATCTCGAAAAGGAATATTTAAGCATAATAGAGTATAAATAGACTATGCAGTGTCATCATGAAGACAAGTGAATGTCGCACATTTAGGATTTTCGTGTTGACGCATTTTTTGACCAGATGTTAGTATAATACCTGGAAGTCGTCTTGAAGTTTTCAATAATGGTGGTTGATCATAGTTGGTACGCCATAATGGATTAGGTATTAGCGTATTGTTATCAATATCTTCACATGTCGAATCAGAATTAATCAGTTGCGAATCATACTGCAAACTCAAATAAAGTAAGATCATTAATCACTTCTGGTACCGAAGGTTGTTGCGAATATCGATGAATTATTCTTGTAACAAAATCATCTTCAGTAATTGATTCCATATTTACATTTGGGTTTTTTAATATACGGTCTTCATGAGACGGCAGAGATATGTATAAGTGAACTGTGGCCATTGAATACCGATGCAATGCAATACCTTTTTATTTTATAAATGATTAAGAAACCCTGCAAAGATCTACTTACCTAAAATTAGTCAAGCAGCTTCAATTTTTCCAATCTGTCTATGTGATAAAACAGCATTGCCAGCTTTTAGTAAAACTTTTCTCGCTTCTTCAAGAGTTGAGCATGCACATCCAGCTAACTTTTGTACGAGGTCCTTTTCCATGTGAGCCTCTTTACTAATATAAGAAAAGAGATACTCAGCTGCCGCCCATGGATCAGTTACAATTTGCATATCGTGATTACATTTAAATGTTTTAAGTAAATTGATATTATATGGAACAATACGACGTGACTAACAATACAGAAAGTTAGGTATATCTTAGTAAATAGATAATACAAAAAAATTACTTCTTCTGTTGTTCTTTTCATAATAATATCACGATCACCACGTGTCAATATTCTAGCTTCTTTATGTGTACGAAAATGTGTTTTTGCAGCTAATGGATCAGGTTTTCCAAAAGGGCATCTAGCTCTTTCAAAAAATTCTCTTCTTTCGACCTTTGTTTGAATTAAATCAGGATCATCGTCTGGATCTATTTTTTCGTATATTTCATCTTCATTATTTCGATTTATACCACTAATATAATCTGTATTGTCTTGTATTTCACGTTTTTGCTCAGGTATTAATTCTTTTTTTCCTCTTCTAATGCGTACAATTGGCTTACCTTATATAATAGAAGAATTATTTAAAAAAAAACAAATTGGCTATTTTTCTTACTTTTACTACAGGTGAAAGTATGTGTATGCCATTGATATTTTCGAACGAATTTGTAAAGATCTGGCTGAGCATCTCGATCAGGTAATTCAGTAGTAAGAAATTTGTCAACAAAATCAAGTATTGCTTGTCGTCCTTCAATTGTATCTGTAGAAGGAGGATTTTCAATTCATAGTAAAGCATGTAGATGAGGTAGTCCATCTCGTTGAAATTCAGTTTTCAAAAAATAATTAGAAATAATGTAATCAATAAGAAATGGATGCTTCTTATCACTAATATATTCTTCAAAACCTGTTAGTCGACGTTTACACATTCTTGCAACTAGTGCTGGATTTTCATTAGCTAACATCAGATATTCATCATCAGATAAAGAATCAATGGCTTCCCAATTTGGATTACATGTTGAACCAAATTTTTCAGGATTAACGTTGGTTAAAAATTCCACGTCATCTTGTAAATTAATTGATAGGAAAATAAAAGGCTTNTCATTATCTGTTGATGGTTTATTAATTGTATCATCTTCATGTTCGATTGGATTTGTAAATATATAGGATTCTCGATGGTTAATTTTAAAATTTTCTTTATCAATATTGATTAAATGATCTAGTAGATTTTTTAGTTGAATACGATACGTTTGACGTAATGTTAAAATACGAGTAGAAATTTCTATTTTGTGTTGTAGAAGTACTTGATGTAGATCATATATTTCTGGTTCTAAGAGAAAACTTAAAAATGTACCGCTTAAATTAAAAAGAACATTTCAAACCTTGTTTACCACCTAAAAATTCACCCATTGAATCTCGAAAGGGAATATTTAAGCATAATAGAGTATAAATAGACTGTGCAGTGTCTCATGAAGACAAGTGAATGTCACACATTTAGAATTTTCATGTTGACGTATTTTTTGACCAGATGTTAGTATAATACGTGGAAGTCGTCTTGAAGTTTTCAATGATGGTGGTTGGTCATAGTTGGTACGCTATAATGGATTAGGCATCAGTGTATTGTTATCAATATCTTCACATGTCGAATCAGTATAATCAGTTTCGAACCACACTGCAAACTCAAATAAAGTAAGATCATTAATCACCTCTGGTACCGAAGGTCGTTGCGAATATCGATGAATTATTGTTGTAACAAAATCATCTTCAGTAATTGATTCCATATTTACATTTGGGTTTTTTAATATACGATCTTCATGGGACGGCAGAGATATGTATAAGTGAACTGTGACCATTGAACACCGATACAATGGAATACCTTTTTATTTTATAAATGATTAAGAAACCCTGCAAAAATCTACTTACCTAAAATTAGCCAAGCAGCTTCAATTTTTCCAATCTGTCTATGTGATAAAACAGCATTGCCAGCTTTTAGTAAAACTCTTCTCGCCTCTTCAAGAGTTGAGCATGCACATCCAGCCAACTTTTGTACGAGATCCTTTTCCATATGAGCCTCTTTACTAATATAAGAAAAAAGATACTCAGCTGCCGCCCATGCATCAGTTAGAATTTGCATATCGTGATTACATTTAAATGTTTTAAGTAAATTGATATTATATGGAACAATACGACGTGACTAACAATACAGAAAGTTAGGTATATCTTAGTAAATAGGTAATACAAAAAAATGACTTCTTCTGTTGTTCTTTTCATAATAATATCACGATCACCACGTGTCAATATTCTAGCTTCTCTATGTGTACGAAAATGTGTTTTTGCAGCTAATGGATCAGGTTTTCCAAAACGACATCTAGCTCTTTCAAAAAATTCTAGTCTTTCGAGCTTTGTTTGAATTAAATCAGGATCATCTTCTGGATCTATTTTTTCGTATATTTCATCTTTATTATTTCGATTTTTACTACTAATATAATCTTTATTATCTTGTATTTTACGTTTTTGGACAGGTACTAATTCGTTTTTCCTCTTCTAATGCGTATAATTGGCTTACCTTATATAGTAGAAGAATTATTTTAAAAAAAACAAATTGGCTATTTTTCTTATCATTACTACAGATGAAAGTATGTGTATGCTATTGATATTTTCGAACTGATTTGTAAAGATCTGGCTGAGCATCTCGATCAGATAACTCAGTAGTAAGAAATTTGTCAACAAAATCAAGTATTGTTTGTCGTCCTTCACTTGTATCTGTAGAAGGAGGATTTTCAATCCATAGTAAAGCATGTAGATGAGGTAGTCCATCTCGTTGAAATTCAGTTTTCAAAAAATAATTAGAAACAATGTAATCAATAAGAAATGGATGCTTCTTATCACTAATATATTCTTCAAAACCTGCTAGTCGACGTTTACACATTCTTGCAACTAGTGCTGGATTTTCATTAGCTAACATCAGATATTCATCATCAGATAAAGAATCAATGGCTTCCCAATTTGGATTACATGTTGAACCAAATTTT